GAAGGAAGGAAGGAAGGAAGGAAGGAAGGAAGGAAGGAAGGAAGGAATATATGAGACAAATGAATGATATGAACTAACTGGTTTAAGGCCAGAGTTAAGGCTAGTTTACTCTGGCTTAAGCTCTGCAGAGTCCATACATTGGAAGCTTTGACAGACATGCCTCATTATCCATATTGCAGGAAGAATCGTTCCTGCATTGACCCAGGCCTGTTGATTGCTTTCTGGTGGCAGGATGCATTAAGCAGTGGCTGATGAGGTCTTTTCTGGCTTAGTAGCTAAGAGGTTGCTAATGACTTAGCAACTACAGGTGTAAGCAACAAACAGGCCTTGTTGAGCTCACAGGTGGAGCCTTGTAATAATACCGTAAGGCTTATAGACTTTGTAAGGCAATACATAACCAGGATAGTGTGGGGTGTCCTTCTTGATCCCAGGTACTCCAACATCCCCTTTTGGACTTGGGCCTGTAAGAGCCAGAATACAGACAGGAAAAGTTGCAAGCAAGCACAGTATGTGATCGCAAGGTATTGTTACTGTTCATTGAAGGGCTCACATAGTTTTGGCATTAGGCTTAGCTCCTAGTTTAAGTGAATTTCCCTGGTTTTTGGAAAGAAAGTTATCATTACAGTTCCCCTAAAATAAATAATAAATGCTTTATACTTTGGACACACTGAAATGATAATAGTAGGTTAATACTTTTATAATGAATAACCACTGGTCAGTCACAAAGTACCAGCTTTTGAGTTATCCAGTACGCATCTTTGTGTTGAATGATAATAAGCTAGGGTTAATTGTAACTCCTATTAAAGGAAGGGTGTGGATCGCAAATGGAGACTGCATTTCTATTCTGACTTACTAGACAGTGATGAAAAAGAACTTGGATTTGAGAAAGAAAATATGGGAAGGCAATGGCTCCAGGAACTTGTCTGGCCCTATCATTAGGGCTATCATTAGGGCTGACGTGTGGGCAGCCTGTGTAGAGTTACAGTTTTTAGGAGCTGCCACTCCAACCTTCTGTCCTGTTTTTGGAAGTTTTCACTAAGGTTTACATCAAGACCTTAGGTACCTTTCCTTTCCCTCCCTGCCCCTTCCTTTCTGTGTTCTGTCAAACACAGTCAAATCTCCTTGCACAGCCATCATCCAGTAGCAGTTGATGCTTCCACTGCATACTGGGAAATGTTACAGTTTTGTTGCTGTGAATGTACCACCAGTGTTTTGAGTAGTAGAACACAGCTTTTCTTGTATCTGTTTAAAGGCTATTTAAATCCTACAAACCTATACTATATTTCTTCCCACTTCCCTGCGCTACACTTAAAAATATCCAGTCTTGTAAAGTGTTTTCCCTATGAGACATCTTTGATAACTTCAGGTACTTTGTGTAATTTTTTAAAATCTTATTATCGATAAAAGTATTCATGATGTGTTCATATTCTGAAAGAGTGGTATGTCATACTCCATGTGCCCTTTTTAATTGGAATATAGGTTGAGTTAATGTATGTGAAATAGTGGGCACTTTTTAGTCATTTATATGTGTGTATTTACTGATGAATCCGTGTAGATATACTGAGATATTCATGGTATTTCCATAGCACATTACTTCTCCCAAAAACATGGGGCAGGCAAGCTCCAAAGTTCCAGAATACCTGCAATTTGTAATGATCTTCAGAGAGCCACCACTGAGGGAGGCTTGGTTGATGGCGACAAGGAAGACGGCTGTCTCAGTGGTGGACCCCTGATTATGGAACCATTTCCCCACTGAGGCCTGTCCAGCACCAGCTCTGATATGTTTACCCTCTATGCTGAGCCATTTAATGCCTTTTACTGGCATATGGAATTATGGCAGCAGTGTTTCTCTTACCAGGTCTAGCTTATTGATAATGTTGTGATTATTCAAAAGATTTGAAGTTCTCTTTTTAATTTGGTACTGAATTTTGTGTTATTTTTATTGTATTTTACTGTTTTGTGTAAATTGTCATTAACCACCCAGAGAGCTCAGCGTTTGGTTGGAATAGAAATGAAATTACTACTACTATTACTACTACTACTAATAACAACAATAAAGGAGGGTCAAGAATATATTTAAGTTTAGAAAATGCACACTGAATTTCTTTTACTTTCTAAAGAAAAATGTCATTCAGAATCTTCCTAGCAGTGTTACAGTGCGCAATCTCTTATAATATGATTATAGGTACTATCTCAAATCTGTGTTTCCTTTCCACAGGAAGGCTTATGCACCTCTATGCTGTTTGTGTAGACTGTTTAGAAGGGGTTCACAAAATTATCTGCATAAAGTGCAAGTCTCGGTGGGATGGAAGCTGGCATCAACTGGGAACTATGTACACTTACGATATTCTAGCAGCTTCTCCTTGTTGTCAGGTTAGTATTCTGAAAGAGATTTGATCTTCATGAATTGATGTTAAGTGGTATAGGGCAGGGAAACAGTTTGGAAGAAAGATGATGAAGGTATGGGATATTATCGTTAAGATTCTAAGAGCTGTGCTGGTCAAACAAAAGGTCGGTCTGTTACAGTTTCCATTTTGGCAGTGCTCATCCAGATGCCTGTGGGAAGCCCACAAGCAGGGCAGGAATGTAATAGCACCCTTTTGCTTGCTGTAGAGATTTGGTGAAGATGCAGGCCAGAGGTACCTAAGGATCCAGGCTGATTCAGAATTTCATCTGACCAGTGGAGATCAGTGCTGTCAATGTTTCGCATACAGTTACCAATAAATATTTCATTTCCCCCTTTTTTCATTCAGTGTAATATTTCATTACTCTGAAAGCCAGTATGGCATAGTGATGGACTGGGACTAGGGCACCTGGGTTCAAGTCTCTACTTGGTCAAGAAAGTTTCAGGGGTTTTGGGCCAGTCACCAACTCTTAGCAGAACAGGGTTAGGTTTGTTGTGAGGATGAAAGAGAAAGAAGAGGACTTAACCACTCTAGGTTCCTTGCAAGAGGAAAAAATTAAACTCATTTGAGACTTTGTATTTTATATAATTCAACAAAAAGTTACAGTTGTAGAGGTAGTTGGATCTAGTTGGATCTAAAATATTTCAATGCTTGCGGTGGAACAAAAGAGTGGCTAATGAATCTTTGGGAAATAATCAAATTAATAAATTTAACTTCTTTGGAAATCAGCACTCACAAATGTATTGAAAACCCATGCAATTCTTTCAGTTCTGGAGAGAATGGTACCTGTCAATTTCAGGCAACAATCTGGCAGCTGTATTGTGAGCTAACTGAAGTTGCGATCAGCCGTCAAATGCAGCACCATGCATGATGTGTTGCAGTAGCTGTTCATAGGTGCTGCTGCATAATTGTGACCAGGCTCTCTCTGGGAGAAGCTGTAGCTGGTATAGCAGCCAAATCCAGTGAAAAGCATTCCCTGCCACATGGGTTATCGAGACCTCCAGTGACAGTGCTGGATCTGGGAAGAGCCCCAGAGGACAAACCTCAAAAGGGATAGTTTCACTCCAGGAATAGGTTGAGCAGTCTCACTCTGAACAGGTGAATTGCTGACTGTCAGATAATCAGAGAAACAAATCAAGTTAGAAGGGGTCTCCCGAGCCATCTAGCTCCAGCCTGCTCTGCTCATGAAATACCTACCATGTGCATGTCCAGCCTATCTTTGAATACCCTCACCGATGGGGCCTCAACCACCTCCCATTATATCTGGATTCAGTTTCAGTGTGTTGGCCCACATCCAATCCAGTACTCATTCCAGGCACTGATTCAGCAAGTGTAGATCCTATTTGTGGCACCTTAGTGGCATCTTTGGATTGCCTCCCTGATTAGCTTTGTGCAGAGGTGATTCTGTGGGATCCCATATCAAAATTAAGTAGGTCCAAACCATAGTGTTCCAACATGTGGGAGGTCCCCAGTGTGGTCTTCAACATATCCAGGGAGGGCTAGAAAACCTCCAGTCTGAATCTCTAGAGAGCCACTGTCTACCTACATTGACTGTATTGGGCTGGATGGAACAGTGGCCTGACTCGGTGTTAGGCGGCTCCCATGTGCCAATCAATAAAGTTTCCATCACAATGGGGCTTGTGCTTAGTTGTTAATACTTTTAATGTTTGGGCATATATACCTTCAGGCAAGTATGAAAGGTAGGTGTAGGTAAAAAGGTGTCTATATGTAGGATGTGGTGGTTTTCAAAGCTCTTGCTCAGCACTTCCCAGATGCTTGTTGCTCGGTCATGGTGTCTTAATACTGTCATCGTATTTCAGAGTGGCTTCTTTTGTCATCCATACCTGGAAAAAACAACCCATTGTGGTATGAAGGCCAGAACCAGAGACACGCTTGGCAAGAATGGCCGTTGCTGCTTTTGCCAAGTGGCTAGCCAGAGAGCTTCACTGGTAGCTGCCGTATTGCCCACCTCCTGCCTTCAGGATCCTTTTTGGAGCAGGAGCAGGCACTCCGCTGGGTGGCATTCAGGAGCTGCCTCTCTTGCAAGCAGGAGCAAGAACGGGGGGCAAGGGGGATAAGCCAGTGTGTTGCCCAGATTGTGTGCTGGTGCCCAACTGATTATCCTCCCTGCTGCTTGCATACACAGTGGACTCCTCTCAGGCATGTGGAGGGCAGCAGGGGAATCAACTGAGTGCAACTGCTTCTTTCTCCAGCTCCACCCAGCTGATTTCCCTGCTGCTGCCCAAGCGTGGGCTGGGCACTCCCTCCTGCTCCAGAAGCCTCCTTGGGGTCGGAGGCGAGGGTGCCTGATCAGTTCCCTTGCCTTTCCTGCCATGTTTCAGCACAGGTAGTCACATGCTGTGTCATAGTGAGCAAATGCCTGGGAGATGCATTTTCATGAGCAGGCAAACACGGTGTGATGCGTTTAGTATTCACTCTGTTTTATTTTCTTCTCTCACCCTCCCTCTGCCCCTTTACAGGCTCGACTGAACTGTAAACACTGTGGGAAACCTGTTATAGATGTACGTATTGGGATGCAGTATTTCTCAGAATACAGCAACGTTCAGCAGTGTCCACACTGTGGAAACTTGGACTATCATTTTGTGAAACCCTTTTCTTCGTTTAAAGTTCTGGAGGCTTATTGACAAAAGCTTTGCCATAGTAATAGCTATTTTATGAGTATTGTTCCTTTTATTTTACATATCTTTTATAAGATCTGTTCTGTGAGGGGAAGGGGGACCTATTTTTTTTCCTAACTGAAAGAAAGTGCAGCAGCTTTGTGTGATTGTGTATGTGTGTTCCTGTGTAGATAATGTGTCTTTAAGACCACATGATTTCAGTGAAGGTTGGTAATGGGGCAGCAGACTGTCTTTCCCACTCCACATTCGCTCAAGCAGAGAAAGAAAATTCAGTTCAGACTCTTGTTTTAACCAGGGCATAATCATGTCAAGACACAGAGAAGTTATGGAAAACCAGTATCTGGTTCTTCGTTTGTTTGGTTGATTTTGAGAGGAGGGGAAATCTTTGCTTGAAGTGGTGGAAAGGGAAATCGTGTGACGGCCTATCCAGATGGATGGCATATATCTTTAGGACATGATAAATTGGCTCTAGATGCAGGAGCACTAAGTGGTTTTTTCTGCCCTTGCTCCATTTGCTCAAGTATAGTTCAAGGCCTAGTATAACATGGGAGGAAGAGCGGGAGGAATACTGCAGGATCTGAAGTAGCATAATCTTCCGTTGATGAATCCACAAACCTCACATTTATGCTCAGATCCTCTCTGTGCATTTGCTATGTCTGAATGAGGTAGGTGATCATACTAGATGGCTGTGAAACCAACAGTTCTCTGAGATTGTTCCTGTGTGTGCCTCTTTCAGAAGATAAAACTCCTCATGTTTTTGTTCCCTGATGGATTTGTCATTGTCATTCCTGGGAGCAAGATCAGATCTTGATAGTATAAGTTGTGCTTGTTTTCCTCTGAAGAGGAAATCTAAATGTTGACAGATGAATGTAATGCGATGTCAGAAAATGCACTGTTAAAAAAAAAAAAACCTTATTTTTGCATAGTGTCTTCCTGGAGTATATATTTGATAATCATAGTTGCTCTCACTGACAGATCATACTGTTTCCACTAACATTATAATTCTAGCAGTCAGGGAAGTTGCTTCTACCAAAACAAGCTTGAGATCTTAATAAGTTGTGTTATTTCAGCTTATTTGCAGGCATTTAGGCTTTCTTGTGGTGTGGAGAAAGATGATTATGCTCACTGAAAATCTGTGATGATGAATAGGGTATCAGCATCAGAACTATTCTTGTGCCGTTATTTTCATTTTGGTTTGATTCTTCTCTCTCCTTGCACTGTGGTGGTAAAGGAGGTATAAAGTAAAGGGATTCCATAGTTTCATGTGATTTACCAGGCTGCCATTGTGTGAATAAGTTGGGAGATTGCACCTTTACTGTAGATGGAGAGAGCTACACTAAAACAAAGTGCTACATTTTAAAGAACATAACCTTTAACTATAGCCGTTATCATAGACACAACCCAGAATGTACTAGCAATTCACATTTTGGTCACATATCCTGTGAAAAAAATTTCTGGGGCAGGCATACCTTGCAATGGTATGCATGTATGTAGGGTCATGTATAAACAGGCATGGTGGAATCAGCTAGCCTGCCTTTTCATGGCAGAAGGAAGGTTCCAAAGTACTGGTTAGCTTTATGGAAGGGACTGGCACTAACTCTTTCAACAGTGTCCCACTGTTGCAGTAGCACTTTGTGAGTGCTGCTGTTAGAAAAAGGCAAGCCTGAAGCCCCCTTGGGGTCTTGAAAATTGTTCCATGTTTTTGGAATCTGCCCTTGAACCTAGGTGTATGAAGGTAGATTATAACTTATTTTAAAACATCTTTTTAAAAATGGCACTTTGATGTAACATGTAAAACATTGATTTTTGCAATCAGTGAGATTTATTAACAAAAATGCACAAGGATTTGTATTTTGATCAGTGTCATTGTTCGCTTATCAGTGTTTTTGTGCAAGGCTTTTTTCTTAAAGGAAGAAAATGTTAAATCTTTGGAAACTTGGTAGTCTTGAGTATTGTTTTTATGTACAGATCTCTCGACATTAGTAATGAGTAATTTACTTGAAAATGGAGTACAGCTTTATGAGACTATATTCATAAAATTATTTCCTAAGAAGAGTGGATAGCGTTATTTTCTCTAAGTTAGCTGTAAGGGCCAAATAGGACATTATATTGGAGATGTATTATTGGGTCTCCCCGTGTAATGTTCTTTCCTAGCAACAGCTGCATGTATGTGTGGCAATTTGTAATGGAGAACAGCAAGTTAGTGGTGGGATCTAGCCTTCCCCAGTGGTTTCTGGAGGTGATACTAGCTTCAATAGGAAATGCATACAGGTACAGCAAGGGTGTCTGTAGGTGTTATGCTCCTTAGCTAATAGCAGGTGTGGAACATGGTTAATTTGGATGGGGAGAGAATGTTATACACCACTGCATGCAATGCAGCCCTAGTCAAAATCTCTCACCCCAAGCTGCTTCTGGAAGAAAATTATTTGGGGTGATCTAATCACAGTCCTCCAATGTACGTTCTAGATTAACCTTAAGCCATTGACTGCCACCCAGTAAACTGTAATATGCATGTAATCAATGTGGCCCCTATATTGGCTTATAGACTGGCTGAGTTTGCACAGCTGACAGCCCACCCTGGAAAGAAGCTGTGATTTCATATGCAGCTACCAAGACAACAGCAAAGTGAAAAATCAACATATTTGTAGCCTCGCTTTGTCCGTCTCCATGGATGTTGCTTCTTGCACTTTGACAGGAGACATTTACCAGGACAGTGACCAGGCAAGTTTTTACATTTTGGCTAGTCAAACTTCTGAAATACTGATCCAAAAAACATTTTTTTTTAAATTTGTGAAAATGTTTGCACAGTTTTCTGGTGCCTAAAAGATAAATTATTTTTAAAAAGGAGACGAAGCAGTGATGGCCACTCCAGTGTGCTGCTTGAGCTCTTTGAGGGGGCCATCGCTGGCTCTCACTGGGAGACATTGTGAAAAGTCCCCAAAAGTAGGTGCATGTGTGTGAAAGTGGTGGCTGTGACTGTGGCAAGTGGTTACCATCGGAGTGAAGACAGGAAGCCATGGATGTTGTCCCAGAGTGATGTTTGGGCATCAACAGAGAGGCTCTTATTTGTTGGAGATACAGGTGAGCTCAGCAAGAGCAGCACTCTCTTGCTGAGTGGCTCATTCACAACCTCTCTGGACCCACAATAGATTGGTTTTCCAGGCTTGGACAATATGACAATCCATTGTGCCCAGCAACTTCTAGAACAAACCATGAGGATCTTGTTGCTCCAGAGCCAGTCACTGTACAAGAAGCACTCCAGATTCGTGTAACATGACATCCCATTGTGTTAGCTACTCATGAGGGGTTGCCATGTCATGTGAACTCATTGTATAGTTTAGCAAAATACAGTTTCCTGATAGGGGAACCCTCCAATGTACTTACGACAAGAAAGAATTGAAAAGAAGTTACACGTCCTCCAAAGAATGCAAAAAAATAATAAAGCACATGGTATAATGTCTGATAAAATAGGTCTTCTGCTTAATTTAAAATGTCCCATCCCTGAAAGAGCCTTAACTGCTTGCACAGCATACAAAGTACTATGTATTATATTTAAAATAATGCTACTTAGAATTCTAACTTTCAAGGATACTCACTTTAAAAATGTTCTTAATTACTCAAGACAAGTCAAGTATAATTAAATATTTACTTGCTTTCAGCTGATTTGGATATTTATGTGCAAGCATTTTGAGATGCTATTTATCTTGCAGTTGGCATACTGCATATAATTTTGCCATTTTGCATGGATTTCAGATCATGTTGCCCTGACCTTTTTGCATAAGAAGAATGCTGATAGCTCTATAACGATATATTTACTGCTTGAGGCCTGAAGTTCATTCTGAGCTTGCATCTTTGCTTGAGATCTGATTAATCACTATGTGTATTAATCATAAAAAAGCTGATACTGCATCTGTGGGCATACTTTATGCACCTGCTGAAATGCATAGATGGCAGGCATTTCTGTTCTGCAGGTTGTACATTCAAGGCTCTTCTCAGAAGATCACTTTGAGGATGGGACGGAGGGTTCGCCAGGCCACCTCTCAGCATGGACTACCAGGGAGCACTATTCTTGTAGCCATCAGGCTCTCCATACACTTTTCATAGCTTTGGGTTGACAGGAGGCTGGACTGGGCTATTAGGGTGTCAGTTCCTACCAGAGGGTAATTGGGGCTTAAATCAGAAGGGCAGGACTACATTTGACCATGAAAAGAGATTCAGTCCAAAGAAGTGTTAATGTTTGTGGTCTGGGAAGTGGTATAGTATAAGTTAAATTTGCCTTTAATAAATAGGTAAAGTTAAGGAACTAGTCTGGAATCCCAAGCCTGAACTCTTCTAATGCCTTGTTTTCCTTTATGACAAGGATAATTTCTTTTACAGCACTCTGTTGCACATGTCTAGCATCCCTCAGTATTGAAAAAAATGGAGCAACAACTCTCATGTGGAGCTCATTCTGTTTGTTGGATCTGGCTATATGCACGTTGGGGCATATGGGATGTAATGGTTATGTTTCCATGTCAGCCAAGCTCTCTCTGCAGAAGTGTTTTTGTTTGGGTAGCCAAGTAGAAAGAGAATTTACAGAAATGTTGGTTGTTCTTAAAGGACATATGTAGGGTAAGGGACTAAACCAAGAATTGTGCTGAGAGATGGAAAGCAAGAGAGAGAGATCAGTAAAAGGTATAATTGGGCCTTGTGTGCTACAATGTCTTGCACATGAGAGCATTTCATTATTTTCTAGTAAAGAAAAATCATAAACAGTTTCTTTGCTTTAGCTGATTTTTAATACCACATACAACTGTCTAATGTATGTTAGCATCAAAGTGAACCTTGTTTGTCTAGAACCCAAGTTATTTTTGAAATATTAAAAATGCCTCCCAAAGGCAATTTTCCTTGGTTGACAAAGATCTGAATTGTACTAGCTTTTTTTGTTGAATTGCTTGACATAATGCATTTCGGTTGGATTGGCCAACTGGTGGGCCGCAAATTGCTTCTGGACCTTTCCCCCTTGCCAGGCCGAGTCTGCAGGGCATAGCGTTTCTCCTCACCTCTCCTTCATGCAATTCCTGCTCCTATTTCCTGACAGGAAGAGTGCCTGCCAGGTAAGCAGTGGCTACCTTTGACCTATGCAGTGTTACTTCCTGAACAGCTTCACACGTGGTATGTTGTACTAGCCAGGCAAAAATCAGTGTGCAAGAGAGATATATATTGTACTGTACCTAGAAAATATTTCTTCCATTCTGAAATCTCTGCAATTTTGCCCATGCTATTGAACTTCGGGTTGTTCCACATTTGGGAATTTTACTTTTCTACCAGAATTAACTTTAGTATACAGTAGAAAATAAGCTGTTAAATTCTTTCATCTCACCAGGAAAGGTTTTTTTCCCCTGGACATGAGGATGCTTTTATTTACTGAGGTACCTGTATTAAAAAGATATACCAACAGTTATGACAGAAAACTGTATTTAGGATGCACACACATATCCCTCTAACAAAATGAAAATACTGTTTGTTAGCTACAAATAGAAGCTGACTGCTATTGCTGTAAAATATATTCAGATGGTAATACACCTAAATTCAGCCCTTTCTAAGGAAAAAGGAAAGCAAAATGCACAGATGGGCCTAAGCAGTGTAATACCAGCATAATTTTAAATATCAGAGCCATACTTCAATCTGTGGCCACAAACAAACATGGGCATATTTAGGGTGCATATTTAGACAAAAATGGCCTACACATTTCAGTACTTCCCAGTGTAGGACGTTCTCTTCCTGTCTAAACATGCAGAGGATCGCCTCCCTAAAACTTAAGTGCACCTAAGACTGTGTTGGATCGTGGCCTTTGCTGAAAATGTAACATATAAGTGATTTTTTGTGAGCAAGGTTTGAGGCAACATGTGATTCTGTCAGTGTGTTCTTTTGATAGGAAGACATGTAGCAAGTTTATCTTCATTTCTCTCTGATTTTTATGTACGAGGTATTCAAGGGCAAAGTGTTGTGAGGCCACAATACCAGCCATATTACATTTGTCAGAAAAAAGCCTTTTTTCCAAAAAAGAAACAAAGCCCAGTTTTGGATTGCACTTTTGCAGGGGAAAGAATATGTACATAACAAATGAATGTTGATGAAATTTAATTGGTTATGCCATTTTTGTGTGGTGTTCCGTTTTTTGGTTGTGATTTCTCTGTATTAAAATAATAAATCTCAGTGGATTGTGTTTGTGGTTGTTTTAAACAGATGCAAATAGGAGCACACAACATTGTATAGAATTGTTTGGTATTGTACCATCAGCCTAATGTCACAGTCTGAGCCTGCTTAGATACTTTTTGCTATATTCACATTCTTATCTCACTCTTCCTCCAAGTATTTCAGAGAAGCGTTCATAGGACTGTCCCATTTTATCATGATAAGAATCCTGTGGTGTGAGAGGATAACTGACCCAAGATAACCCATGAAGCTTCACTGCGGAGATGATTTGATCATACCAGTAATCACATTGGAACCAGTTACTAGGAATTAAGTTACAACTTAAGTCACAGGATATGTTTACTATTGCAGCTGTGGTCAGAGTGCCTAGAACCTTATCAGAAGCACTTGAATTCCTCCTCCTCCTCCTCCTCCTCATCATCATCATCATCAACCCCCCCCCCTTCTATGCTGAAGCTCTTTGGACAGTTCACAGGAATTCTTTGTTTTCTGCAGTCACAATAATAAAAATACAACATGAAATACAAATGCAATAAAATGCAACTGAGCATTTGAATATTCAAAATTGAAAACACTAGATGTGAAGCAATAAGAACAATTGCAATATTGTATTGATCTTAAAAGCTGCAATGGTAGGTAAAAGAGTTCATAGATGTGACTATTGTATTGAGAAATGGATCGGTTGACTATAGGAAAGAACAAGAGTTTGTGGAATTCCAGAAGTGTAACTTAAGAACTGTTTGCTCCACAGGAAGCATAATCTTAATGATCCAGTGCATCAAATTGCAATGAGGTGTTGGGGAAGGGAGAATACTGAGGAAGTTACTAACAACTACAGATTAAAGATGTATGAGAGAACATGGAAGCATAATTCCAAAATATATCAGGATTTTTAAAAAGAGATGATATTTTGTGAGTGCTTATATCATAGAAGTTTTCTCACATGACTCTGGAACGGAATTCCATATGAATGCTTTTGCCTCAGAAGGGTTCCTCAGTAGAGGGTTTCCATGTTCTACTGAATTGAGGGAAAAAAAGCAACATCTTTAATTAGTGAGATTATTCATACAAGTCAGTGGCCACTTTCCCATTCAACACTTTCTGGCTGAATGTGTTTTGCAGAGCAATGTCTCCCCAGAATTATATCCTATTAAGTGTTATGGGACTTACTTCCCAGTAAGTTTGTTACCTTAGAGCCTGATTAATGTCCGTGTGTTTAAAAAGATGTGAATGATGTATAATTGTATGTATTTAGGTAACTATGAGCTACAAGGGAGAAGCATTCCCAGTTATAAGATGCCTTCCCAAGACGACCTGCCTGGATTGTTCCATTTTTGGTTACATACGAAGACACCTCTCTTAAATACTTTAGTTGTTAGATCTTATAATTGAATGTTTAAATTCCTATAGGATGTGAAAATGGCTGGTTTCTGAGCTGATTATTTTTATTGTTGTATGTTGTTATTGTGTTTTTATTCTTTTGCCATTGTGTGATCTGCCCACGGAATTATTGTTACTGGGCAGACTAAAGAAAAATAAGGGAGCTTGCTTGTGAATAACCCAATCTTCAGAGAAAGAAGTTGTTGCAGTATCAGATGGAAAGGAAGATATTTTTGAACATCAGGAAGGCCAGGACAGGCATCTGTAAAAAAAGATGGACATCTATAGATGTGTGAAAATAGTTTTGGATTAACTCCCTAAGAATTGCTATATAGCTGATAAATCATGCATGTATAAATGTAGAAGGAAACTTCTGGATCAGTGAACAGGAAGCATATTGTGTGGTCTCACATGCTGTGATCATCTACAGCTAAATCGCCATGCAACCTCGCCTGTCTTGTGGCTCTGTTCCTACAATTTGTTTAAATCTTGGATTTATAACAAAATAGTATTTTTAAGGTGGGTAATGGCAAAAATGCTGAAAAAGCCAATAGTAGAACCTTTTGGACTATCAGACTTGGGTAAATTGGATTTAAACATCCTTACTATAAGAGGAAAAATTACTCATTGAAATATAGCTAAAATCAGTTGCTTCCTTTTGATTAATAGGAGATATCTCAAATCTTCTGTAGTAGTACTGCTTTGCGTTATCCTAGTCTACACAATACTGCAAGGATTCTTTGGCTATCTTTTGTGAAGCATTGTTTAGACAATTCTTAAAACACTTCCCTAAATCAACGTTAAAACCCAACTCATCCTCATGTCATTCTTGATTCTTTGCCATCCTCCTAGTACCTTTAGGCCTAAGGAAGAACATCCATTGTTATAAACAACATGCAGTGTAGTTTATAAAGTCCATACTGCTCAATTTGCAGTGGAGATAAATCCAGTGGGTTAGATCCAGTGATTGCTCTTCTATCAGTGGAACAGAAATTGGTGGACTGGACTTTTCTGCAGTCCTTCGTGTTCTTCCAGAAATAGAAGATTTGGAAGTATGTGAGGGCTGCAAATAGGAGAGCAAGAAGATTTCCGCTCATGTAATGTTGGATTTAACACATTGTAATCATACTCAAGAGAACAGTACAGTGTAGATCACATGAGGGAACTGCCTTGTGACTGTTATTAACAGCCTTTTCACCCAAAGAAATAGTTTGTTGGCATATATGTACCTGTTACCATGTGTGTACCTGATGCTTTCTTCCATATTTACTGATAAAATCAAGGCCACTGTTTCATACCAATTTTAGAACTAGTTAGTAGCTTGTCTCACAGTGTGAAGGAAATGCCATCATGGGAACTATAACCAGAAAGCACTGGCTGCACACCTTTCACCTATGCAAAGGGTTTATGCCATAGTAGTTTCAGGTCTACTTACTGCTCATGCAACTCTTCCTTTGCCCAAGCTAGTTAAGATGTTTGCTAATGTTACATTGAGAGCCTTACTGTGAAGTCATCTGTTATGAATACATTCTGCCCAGGGAATGGCATGATCATAACAGTGAGAGCCAAGCGAAAGATGATGTGCAAATCCATGATTAGCGTCTCCCTTGTGTGTGTTTAAAAAGTAATAGCTGTGGGGCCTTGGATTGGATTGAGACCACAACAGCGTGGCAGTGGATAATTACACCATGTTTCTAGTTCAGATCCACCAAAGGTCTTAATTTTCTTCCAGGGAAAACTTTCAGGTATTGTGTGTTCTTTTAAGTTTCCTCTTGCAGGCATATAGTTTCTGACCAAATAGAAGAACCCACTATATTTGATTAGTGTCCCCCTCCCCCCACTGAAGCTGTCCACATTTAGAGGCAGTAGTTAAGTTCGTTAGGGACAAGGTGAGCACATTGGCATCAACTGCTCATGTGGATTGCTCTTACTGGAGAAATAGTACTGAAATGTGGACCATTTAAACTGGCAGACCTCTTCACCCTGATTGAAAGCGCTGGGTGTATAGAGGCCCCTACTTACATTTTCTAATATATTTATTGAACATATTTCCAATTGCAGAAAAATGGGTTACACCACACAACTTAAGTTTCATGGTCATGTTAGACCTGTTGTGATTTGTGGGCTCAGCATTCTGGAACGTTTTGAATAGTTCCCAAATGGGCTTCTATCAGATCTGTTTCTATTAGACTGTGGGAGAGAATCAATTGCATCAGTCAGGATTTTGGTAATTTGACATGGTGCTGAAGAAAAAAAGTCGCAAATGCAAATTGCATTTGGCAGACCATTTATGGGGACTCACAGTAAATATAGTGGCAATTTAAATGTACCAATATATTTCTATTCTCCCCAGTATTGGGCTAGTATTAGGCTAATAGAAATTATTATGGATAGGAAAGTAGGCTAATGAGAGTACTGATTGCAGATTGTAGCCAAAGAGACATACCAAATACAGTTCAGGTTAAGCGAGAAGGCTCAGTATGTCAGCTAGGAAAACAAAGGTTTCTGCTCATAGTTTTCCATTATTCAGTTACTGGTTCTAATGATGACACAGAGAAACATTTGCACACTCTTAAGTTACGGTATTTAGGTGTGTGTTCATTTTGAAGGGGAAGACAGCCTTAGAAAACATACAGCGTAACAGTGCAGAAAACAAGTGTCAAGTTGCTTTAAATTTTTTAAAGTGTTCGAAAGCCACTTTCCTAAAATAAAAGAGCTTGGTATTCCTGGATGTTTGCAGCCAGCTCTCCACACTTCCTATTTTGGTAGATGGCTTCATTATTGAATTTAGTTTTGTATGGTGTAAAGGGCCATACATACCAAAGTCATTCATAAAGCATCCCCACCCGGCTTCCAACAATAGCATCTGCCAGCACCAGCAGTGTTACACCCTACTATTGAAACTAAGAAAATAGCAGCTTTGAGAGATTAAGGCGATGAATCACTTGCCTGTGGAGATCAAGGTATGAAACCTGCTTCTGCTGTTGTGTCCTTATTCAAACATTCGCTGTTTCCATGGATAGGTCAGGTGTGGTGCATTTGGGCCTCCCAGGAGCTAACAGGTGTTTGGAACTTAGGTGAACAAACAGGTACTGCGTTCAGGTCAGGGATTCAAAATGAATGATGATAAAGCCTAGGCCCAACTTCATAAATACTAGCACAATTTTGCGTTAGCTTTTTCAAGGCAATGCGCATGGTTCGTTAACCAGGATTGTTAATTCTGAATATGAGCAAAGGGTAGCACTGGAGCTGATGCCACAAACTGAAAATGGGTTTAACAAGTATTCCTTCTCTTTGGGAAATCTTTGGATTGGGTTTTGGTAAGAGAGTCCTTGTGATTTTGAACAGAACATTTTCAACTGTTTCACTGGTTTCTGGTTTGCAGTAACCTTTGGGGAAAACCATGATAATTGAATGGATACAGAACTGTTAGAACTAATAGGAGAGGCACCCTGAGACGAGTTTAGAGCAGGTTTAAGAGTCTCCACTTCTGCTAGTAGATAATATGGAATAGTTACATGCAGTTCCTACAGTAGAAAAACAGTTTCAGCTGTCCCTGACCTTTCCTAGGCTCGAGTTTTCCTTCATCATGGAGGTTTCTGGGGCACACCAAAACTGGT